TATTCCTGTTCATTCTGAGCCAGCCACATGAGAAAAACTGCTCAGAATGGGAGAGACTCCTTAATCAGAAAATGAGGCAGAGATGACAACCCAATGACACTTGAGGATGTTTACTTTTATTGTAGGCTGAGACTAGACAGAAAACTCCCTGGCCTCTATAAACTCTAGCTTGTCCTAAAATTTAAAGCCTGCTATTTATAACAAACTGTGGCTGAATCTGAGAAGAATGGGAATCCCAGAACATTTAATCGTGCTAATGCAAAACCTATACTTGGACCAAGAGGCAGTCGTCAGAACAGAGCAGGGCAACACTGAATGGTTCAAAATTGGGAAGGGTGTGTGCCAGGGATGTGTCCTATCTCCATACCTTTTCAACCTGTATGCAGAGCAGATTATCCGAGAGTCTGGGCTCTAGGAGGAGACGCGTGGCGTTAGGATTGGTGGAAGATCTATCAACAATCTGCGTTATGCAGATGACACAACCTTGCTCGCTGAAACTGAGGAGGACCTCATGAACTTACTGCAGAGGGTCAAGTACTGCAGCCTTCAGTATGGACTGAGGCTCAATGTCGAGAAGACAAAGATTCTCACCACTGGACCAATTGGTAGCATCAGGGTGGATGGCGAAGAGATCAAGATTGTTCACAGCTTCAGTTTGCTCGGCTCCACGGTCAACACTCTTGGCACCAGCAGTCAGGAAATCAAAAAACGTATTGCGATGGGAAAGTCTGCTGTTAGGGACCTCTCTAAAGTACTCAAGAGCAACGGTGTATCTTTGGAGATGAAGGTGCACCTGATACAGGCCATGGTCTTTGCGATCACTTGTTATGCATCAGAGAGCTGGACAATGACTAGGGAGGACAGAAGGAGAATTGACGCCTTTGAGCTGTGGTGCTGGAGAAGAGTATTGAATGTACCATGGACTGCCAAGAAAACAAACAAATTCATCTTAGAGAGGGTTAAACCAGACTACTCCTTGGAGGCAAGGATTCTGGGGCTTCGTATGACATACTTTGGACATGTTGCAAGGAGAGACAGGTCTTTGGAGAGGGACATCATGCTGGGTAGAGTAGAGCGACAGCACAGGAGGGGAAGACACTATGAAGTGGATTGATTCAGTGACTGGGGTAATCGGGATGGGTGTGTCAGAGGCAATGCGGTTGGCGCAGGATAGAGCAGGGTTTAGGGCTGTTGTACATAGGGTCGCTATGACTCGCAAACGACTCGACGGCACATAACAACAACAACATTTATAAGCTTATCCAATATTCGTTTTACTGGACTTAAATTTAGTACAGCATCAGTTTCTGAAACACTCAATAGTCAGAAGATAAATTAAAGCACTTCTCCTTCATCTGTTACCAAATTTCTTAACGAAGCCCTTGAGACCATTTCTCAGGTTCTATCTTCCTTACCTCTTTGGGATCCTCAAAGGGATATTATCTGGAGACTTGTAGCAAAGGGATTCAGTCATCTTTGGGGAAAATAAATAACCAAAGCTCCTGAAATCTGGAGTTTTACGAGACTGCATTTTTTTTCTTGTGTCATATCCTGGGTGAGGAAACGAAAGACCCAAACTCAAGGAAAATAGCCATCATCTGAAATCCACTTTATAACACTGGAAATAGATTACCTCACTTTGTGGGTTTTAGTTCTTTTGTAAATGCTTCTTGGAAGCAAGGTTTTCCTACCTACTTCCTCCAAATAGACATAGTCCTTTGCGTGCCTGTTTATTATCTGGAAAATGCCTTCTTCTGCCTTCTGCTGCCAAGGTCAGAAGAATTGAGTGGTTGTTGATATATTTCAATGTAAATGGAGTGTTGTATGCATTTTTCAAAATCCTACAATTCCCGTCTATGGTTTGGGTATTTGGTTGATTGCATTCCTTTTCCCCTTCTTTCAGTATTATGTTTCTTCACACTCATTTGCTAAGGTAATTAGATAAGGATATAAAATTTATCAGATATATTATAATGATCTTCAAATATCTGAAATATTAAAGAGGAAATAGACTGTGGACTAATGTAGAGAGTAGTAAGTTACAATGAAATAGATACTGAGACAGTTGAAAGTAGCATTATCTAAGAAACAAAAATCACTGAAAATAGGAACAGATGATAACTATATAGTGGAACAGTATGCTGTGTTGAAATTGATAAGTGTGAGATAGAAATTATATGAAGTATTCAAGATAGAATATTAAATATTAGAAAAAAGGTAGTTGTGGATTCGTATATGATGCCTAAAAATGTGTATGACAATATGCATGACAATACATAAAAAAAATTGAAAGGAAATAAAATTAAAAATAATTATTTTAGTCAGAAAATACAAAGTAGAGGTAGAGAGACTTAACATTTCTATTTATACTTTTCTGCTTAGATTCCTCCCATCCACCATGGGTATATATTACTTTTGTGACTAAGGTCATAGTTTTATTTTTAAGAAAACAGTATCTTTAAAATAAATTAAAAAGGCTACTATCTAAAAAAATAAAGAACTTTCAATGATTAAAAACACAAAGCAGAATTTGGAGGACTATTCTGAAAAAATGCTGTACTTTTAAAAAGAAACTTCTAATTTTTCTAAGAAGAGGAAGTATTTTTGGTTAATAATCTAGAATTCACAAGAACAAAAAAGTGGTATAAAATGTTGGTTTTGACATGAATTCTAAACAGGTGGCAGCCATTTTATTTTAGTTACAGTAATTCTATTCTACAAGTGTTACCACTTCTCATCCAGTCTTTGAGGTATTAAGGTCATACTGAGGGGTCATAATGACCCTGAGAAGATAAGAGAGGAGAAACAACTTCAGATTTGTATAAATCAATTTAATCTTTCCTAAGAATATTCCCATAGAATTTTTTTTTGTTTCCTAATTCTTCTTAGGGCTGGTAGGATTGATTTAGCACTTATATCCAAGTTTACATTGTTTAGTGTTGCAAAAGAAACTTTAATAAACAGAAATAGTGAAAGTTACTTTTCTAACTCCCTATCTCCAAGGAAAATTCCCTATGGATGGATGTATTTCTACATTATTTTTCTGCATCATTAAACATTTCTAGAGTTGTAATGACTTCCTATCCAATGCATATAACTGAGTCATTCCCTTATTCACTTATATTGTTCCCAGATATAAATATAATACATTATTTTTGTATTAATACATATCTCTTATTATCTTTAAATAAAATTATTTCAAATGGAAATATTAAACCAAAAGGTATATATACACACACACATATACATATATATAGTTGTTGACTGACATCAAGTCAAGCATAACTCATTGCATCACTATGAATAAAATAAATGAACCTTGTTCTATAACTATTGTTGTTTCTCTAAGTTCATAGAGTTTGCAGAAGCACACTGTTTAGGAAGTGAATGCCACTATAAATAACTATACATATATAGTTTATATATATATATATATATATATATATATATGCATATATATACAGTTTCTCATCTGGTGATTATGATTTGTCAGCAGAAGTTTTGAGAGATATGTAGATGGATATATAACTATATAGCTATAATGTTTACATTGTTGTAATTGTTGTTGTTATCTGCCATCAAGTTGCCTTTGACTCATAGTGATCCTATATAAAACAGCTCTGAACCCTGCTCTATCCTGAGACAGTCTCACTGTCTTCAACACAGCTATGCCCTTAGAATTAATATATTGTCTATGACTTATTAATATGCACAAACCACTTAATCTTTATATTTTAGATTGCCCATCTATAACATAAAAATAATTACTATATCAGAGTCTTGTGGTATATATATATGCTGAAAATCTGCTTTCTTGTTATAAGAAATTATTATTATTTTAATTTCATATTGAAGATGAGAGCTTTCTAATTCCAATAACTCTTCAGATAGAGAACAGAAGGAGAGATAGATAAGTCAATTTCCCCAAAGATGCCCAGTTTAGTATTTTGGAAAGTAGAAAAGAGAGCTCAGAGTCTAGTTGTTAAGTAAACAACTTGAGAAAATTTACATCTAAGCACAAGCTAAAAAATGCATAGAAACATGCACAATTTAAGAGAAGAGGTAAGAATAACATTTAGTACTTGAACTACACTATAGGGGGAAAGATTTATAGGTTATATTTGGTCCTCAATAGACTTACTTGAGAACGATAGTCATTTATTGAAGAATGGGAGCACATATCTTGGTTGTTTTTTTAGGCTTTTTATGGTTGTTGTTTTGTTTTTAAAGTCAAGTGGTGGTGGAGCAGGGTTTCTTATGGGCATGTGGCCCAGAGGGTCTAGACCTTGAAGAAGGACATCATGCCTTGTAAAGGTGAAGGGACAGCACAAGAAGAAAGACCCCAGATGAGATGGATTGACACAGTGACTAGGGTACTGGGGGTAGGTGTTCAAAGTCAGTGATATTGGCTCAGAACAGGGCAGGCTTCTGAGCTATTGTATATAGGGTCTCTATGAGTTGCAGGCAACATGATGACACATAACAACAAAAGATTATGGAAGAAACAGAGATGTGGAGCAGAAAGAAAGCAAACACTAATGTCTAGTTGGTGCAGAGAACATTCCTTTATTTACAATGCAGGAAGAAAGATTTTTAAAATGATCAAAATTATTTAGATTAACAAAATCTAGAATTATAAGAGAAAATCCAGTCCAAATTTAAATATTTATTCCTACTTCTTTAGCCTTAGTTTTATCCTAATGTCTATATTCTAATTCACCAAGAAATCAGTTCCTAAAGGGTCAGGCAACCTTTCTTCTATCCAATGAATGCTACCTCTATTTACTCTTTCATACCCTTTTACATAAATCTTTTTACTAGAAATAATTTCCTAATTATGTTTTTCTTTTACCTCTAGGTGAATTTTCTCCATGAATCTGACATCACTCCAGTCACAGGATCCTTATTATCGCTTCCTCCTTAAATTCTCCACAAAGCAGGCAGTGTTGAAGTGCTCTAGCCGGCCTATGTTTCCCTCTTTAATATCTGAAATCTACTCAATGAAGAGAACAAACTATACATTGGTAAGTGAGTTTGTTTTCCAGGGTTTCTCCAGCTTCCATGAACACAAGCTTACTCTCTTTGTGGTGTTCTTTGCTTTGTACCTTCTCACACTGGCTGGTAATGTCATCATTGTGACGATCATCAGCATTGATCGTCACCTTCACACCCCCATGTACTTCTTTCTTAGCATGCTGTCCATTTCAGAGACCATGTACACACTCGTCATTGTACCACGAATGCTCTCCAGCCTCATAGGTCTAGGTCAACCCATTTCCTTGGCTGGCTGTGCCACCCAGATGTTCTTTTTTATCACCTTGGCCATCAATAACTGCTTTCTGCTCACAGCAATGGGTTACGACCGATACGTAGCCATTTGCAACCCCTTGAGGTACACAATTATCATGAACAAGAGGGTGTGTGCCCAGCTGGTGTGGGGGGGCTTCAGCATTGGACTGCTTGTGGCCATAATTCAGATCTCTTCTGTGTTCAGACTGCCCTTTTGTGACAAAGAAGTAGCCCATTATTTCTGTGACATCCGCCCTGTGATGAAACTTGCCTGCTATGACACCAGTTTACATGACATCATTAACTTCATTGTCAGTTCACTAGTTATTGTGGTGCCCATGGGTTTAGTCTTCATTTCATACATCCTCATCATCTCTACTATCCTCAAGATTGCCTCTGCTGAAGGCAGAAAGAAGGCCTTTGCCACCTGTGCTTCTCATATCACCGTGGTCATCATCCACTATGGCTGCGCCTCCATCGCCTACCTCAAGCCCAAGTCAGAGAACACCAGGGATCAGGACCAACTGATATCAGTGACTTACACAGTTTTTACTCCACTCCTTAATCCTGTTGTGTACACATTGAGGAACAAGGAGGTCAAGGATGCCCTTCACCGTGCTATTGGCAAAAAACCTCTCACTTAAGATATTTGATATATGCAATTTCTCATATTCTTTAATCTTAAAAAAAAAAGCCTGGACACATTATTTCTACTTTATGCAGAAAGAGTTGCAAAGTTAAGTACTGAGCCTTCACTAAAATATAGTTTCCCTCATTTAACTCTTTAAAGAGGAAAAGAAAAAATCATTCTCCTATATCCTCTACTGATCTTATAGTTTGTTATCAGGGGAATGGCCAGATGCTGCTGATAAGATGGGAAGCTGGTAGAGAATCATAAGTAAGGAAGCTGATGGTTATCAGTTTGTTGATGATAGAAAACTGAGCTGTATAACATCTATTTGAAGTGATAGGTTGAAAGAGCAGCCTAAATGTCAGATTCTGAGCTCTGGATTTCAAAGGGAATGTGGTAGATGCACCAGATGTGTTGGAAACACATTTGAAACTACCTTCAATACTTATCACCACTTTCTCTTTGGAGCAGTGACAAGAGTAATGGACCTTTGACATTTCAAAGTAAAATATTAGTAGCTTTAAGGATTCTCACCTGCTTTGGAGACACATGAAATGCTGTTCTTTGCAATTTTGTTGAGGGTCACATTATAACTGTGCCCTCAGTGAGACTTGACCATCCATTCATTGACTTAGTGAGTAATAATGTGATCACATCTCGCAAATGAATTTTGCTGCTGTTGTATGTACTTTGTTGGGATAGCACGCATGTTGCACTGTGTCTGTGAGCATAAAGAGTCATGGTTGTATAGTGTGTTACATATTGGGCTGCTAAGCAAAAAAGACTGTGGTTTGGATACCTTAGCCTCTCTGGGGGATAGCTCTTCATGTAAAGAATTTACAGCCTTGGAAACTCTATCATGTTGACATGTGTGGGAATCTGACTGGTTGGTGGCAGTTTGTTATTTACATTCACGGCATAGGCATATCTAAGTATATTTTTTTTAAATGAAATTTGAAATTAAATTAACCTTGTTATCTCATTTCTAGAACCTAGTCTCCTAGTTTTCCTTTCTTCTCTAGAATGTGAGTTGGTAGTATGTTAATGAGCTCATTTTCTAGAAACAGTTGGGGGTGCCTGTTTTAAACTAGTTTAAACATTTGTTTAAACAGGAGTCTGGGGAGGGGCATCTAGGTCTCCTAATTTTATTGTTAAAGAGAAGTCTTTCTTGATTTGTAAAAAAATTAAAAGTTTAGGATTTTGCCTGGAGGGAAAAAAACCAAACAAAAAACAAAACAAAACAAAACAAAACAAAAAACCAACCAACAATAAGCTGACCTTGCCAAATATCTTTCAGGCCAGAAAGAGTTCTTGTAAATAGAGATCAGTTCCTCACTTCGTTCCCTAATAAGATAAGAGCAGGCCAAATGTCATCTCTTGAAGATACACTGAAAGATTATTTCAAACAATAGGTTTTGTAATCTCTAATTCCAGAAGGACCAAGAAGAAAACACATGTTTTTTGAGCTATTGCCTATCTGAAAGTGAAGAGAAGCTTCAGAAAGTATCTTTACTTTTATATGGGGTTCCTGAGAACTCTCTGAGCTAATTACAAAGTAAACTTTCACACTCCTACTTCTGAAAACTGCTAATTTTAAGGGGTTTTGGAATCTAACTCATTGTAATATCCCACTTTGCAAAAGCCCCTTACCCTTAGTAACAATACTATTTTGAACGTTTGAGTACTCAGAACTCTCATAGGACTTTCTCACAGCACTCTGCATGTCTCTATGACACTGGAACCCAATATTGGAAAATCGTGTGTTTTCATGAGTTCCTATTATTTGATGCCTTAGAGAATTATAGTGTGATTCATCTGAAGTGATTTTTTGGGAACACAATAAAAATGTTCAAGGTTTACCTAACCTTTATCTTCTTTATGGAGATTTTTCCATCTTAACAGAGCCAGGAAAAAATGGAATCAATGCATTTAATGGCAAAGGGTATGTATAACTAATTATTACTAAATACAAATCATGTCTGAAAAGAACAAAGCTCAAATCCACACCTTGGTTTTAATCACCACATAGCCATGGTCTTTATAATGCAGGGTCTGCCAATTTAGCAGGTTGCCACTATGACATGTGTCACACATATCCTTTAGGGGGAGCACATGGTCCCACAAAGACACATCCCATATCTCCCCAACCAAAGATTGGTTTATGTCAAATGTTCCTCCAAAGGAATCCTGCTCTTGTCCCAAGATGATCTTTGCCTCTGACCCTATAACGTATCCCTTCCTCACGCCCTTCCTCCCCACCAGTTTCCTGTTGACCCAGAATTCAGCAATCCCTGAGGCAGACTCCCAGCTGGTACAGACATGGATTGGGGCATAAGGTGACTGCGGTGCCTTGAAAGTAACCCCAGAATTTCCAATGGACAGGAGGTACTCTCCCATTTTATTCACAAAGAGAAGCAGCTCATTTGCCTGGGACTGAGTGCTGTAGGAGAAGAGGCTGTAAGTACGAGTGAGGTCTGTGAAGGTCTTCAAGCACAATGTGAAGTTCTGCAAAGGCTTCTTCACCAGTGGGATCAGGGACACATACGCTGTTTTTGATTCTTGAGGGAAAATAAACACTTTTCCTCTCAAGTCTGTGGAGAAGAGACAATGCAACAAAAATATGGTCAACTCTCTTGTTTGCTTTGCTCTCCCTTTAGAATATATGCTGCCTCCTGACAGAGGAGATATAGCACATCAGAGTCTACAAAGTATCATTTAGTGTTTTATCTCCCTTTCTGTATAAGGAAAATGTTAGTGCTAATAATCTGGGATTATTATATTTAAAATGTCTTCTATCAACTATTGTAATCCCTAGGTGATGTAAATGCTTAAGCATTGGGCTTCTGAAAAGTCTGTCATGAAAATTCTATGTCAGTAGTCAAGCCAACAATAACTTTCATTAATGCTATTTTATATCAACTGCTATGGCCCCTAAAATATACATTGGAATTCTAGCTATATACCTATAGATATAATAGACTTTAATTGTGTTATGTCATCACGTCTGAGTTATAAACAGAATTTATGAGAAAAGTTGTTGTTTTTGTTGTTGTTGTTTGGTGCCTTCAAGTTCAGTACAAACCATAAGGAACCCTATGAACAACAGATCTGAACTCTTGCCCTATCCTGTTCCATCCTCACCATCTCTGACACACTCTAATCCACTCCTGCAGTCACTATGTAAGTCCATCTGGCTGAAGATTTTCCTCCCTTTTGCCACCCCTCCACCTTTTAAAGTATGATATCCCTCATCAAAGAACAGGCACAAGACTCTCCTAGCAATGTGCCAGACTACATGAGATGAAACTTTATCACCTTTGCCTCCAACGAGCTCTCTGGTGGCACCTTCTCTAAGACTTATCTCTTTATTATTTTGGAAGTCCATAGGATATTCAGTACTTTTCTCTAACACTACAGCTCAAAAGCATCAATTCTCCTATCATCGTTAGCCATTGTCCAGCTCTCAGACACATAGAAAGTGATTGAAAAGAGCAAGGCCTGGATCAGGTACACCTTAGTCCTCAAACTTACATCATTGCTCTTCAATAATTTGAAGAGATCCTTGCCAGCAGATTTTCCCAGTGCAATACACCTCCTGCTCTCTTCCCATTCCTGAGATAGTTGTTCCAACAGAATGTGGAAGTGTCAAACAATATCATTAATAACACATGCAAGCAAAATACTGCTAAAGAGTATTAAAAAAATGACTAGAAAAGTATGTGGACAGAGAACTGCCATAAGTTCAAGCTGCATTTACAAGAGACCCTGGCACAAGGGAGATCATTGCTGATGTCAAATGGATACTGCCTGAAAGAAAAGAATACTTTTCTTGACCATGCAAAGACATTTTACAGGAAGAGAGCATCATAAATTATGGCTAATTATTGATAAGAATGGGAACCCAAGAACACTAAATTATGCTCATGAAAAACCTATACTTATAACAAGAGGCTGTTGTGCAAACAGAACAAGGGAATACTACATTGTTTAAAATTAAGAAAAGTGTGTGTCAGAATTGTATCCTTTCTCCTTACCTATTCAATCTGTATGCTGAGCGAATTATTAGAGAAGTTGGAGTCTATTAAAAAGAATGTGTCATCAGGCTCAGAGAAAGATTTACCAATGACCTAGGTTATGCAGATGACACAACTTTGCTTGCTGAAACTGGAAGACTTGAAGTGCTTGCTGCAGAAAGTCAAAGAAATCAGCCTTCAGAATGGATTGCATCTCAACATCAAGAAAACAAAAATTCTCATCATTGGACCAATAGGCTACTTCATGATGGAGAGAAGACAAACTGTCAACAACTTCACGATTCTTGGTGCCAGTGGTCAGGAGGTCAGAAGATTAATTAGAGACATAACAATATATTTAAAAAGACAGACACAACCAAAAATGCTTGAGCTATCCACAAAAAAATAATTGACTAGTCAAGAACTCGATTTGGATTTTCAGCCTCCATAACTTTGAGGAAATAAAATTCCATTCTTCAAAGCCACTAACTTGTGTAAGAGAAGCACTAGCTAAGTAAGACATCAACCTCTCCTTTCTTCTTTACAAAATTCAATAGACTAGCAAATACCTGTCTAAAAAATGAAACTTGAATAACTCAGTGAAGGTTATGTACAAAGCTTGTAGCATGTCAGAGTTAGGGGATTCTTCTGTGAGACAACGGTGGTCATGTTACCCATAATTTAAATGACCCTTTTTAAGTATTGGCTTGGTTCTGCTAGACCACCATCAACCTAATGGTTAATGAAGTGTGAGGCACAGACTCAAACTCATTGTTCTCCAGTCAGAACTGATTCATAGTTGATCTTCCAGCAATTTCTGGGGCTGTAAATTGCAAGGAAGGAGACTGCCCATTTTTCTTCTCCAGAGTCCCTGTGGAGGCCTAGCTTTTGGGCTTGTCCTGAAATGCCGTATGGACTACACCACCAGACTCCTCTGAATAGTATATAAACCACATTTTTCAGACCTCCATGGTGCTGTCACCTGTCTCTTCACTCCCTTTTTAAAATCCTGTTGTATTAGTTCAGGGTCAGTCTCCCGCTGTTTGTCTCTCCATAGCAACAGCATCAGGATCATGAAATTATTTACTGTTAGCTTATTTCCTCACAAGATCCACAAGAGAATAAGAGACCTTAATCATTATGAGATCAACTTTTCTGCTTTTGCTTAGGAAGGCTAACTTAACAAAAACCAAAGGTCTGGAAAATAGGAATAATGACTAATTGAATCAAGGGAGACATAGTCTAGAAATATTAAGAAATCTTTTTTTTAAGAAATCTTGAATTGTGTTAGTTTTGCTTAATAGTAGGAAATGGAAAAACAGCATGAATTCCTATTTCCTTTGATACCAATTTTTTTTAAAGAAATGTTCACCTAGGGAAAGAGAACTAGAAAAGATTAGAGACTTCAGTAGCTACAGAGAGAAAACTTCAGCCAATATAACATGCATTAGAAAAACGGTAAATGCAGGAAATCAAGCATTTTCTCTGATACTGAATTTTTCCCTGTTTAATGTATAATTTTCTAAGTATGCAAACTATAAGTAAAATATTAAATATTAAGGCAGAAAGCAGGATTCTGAATAACGTGTTACTGATATCAATGTGACGGAGAAATGGGTATGTCAAACTTGAAAATATGTGATTCAACTCAGTTGCAGTTAATAGGGAAAAATATGGGAGAGAGTAGTGAAGAATGGCCAAACCATTTAAGTGGGTTTGTTTAGACCACCAGATTTTACACAGCACAAGTACATTTGTCCTTTAACCAATTTCACCTAAACTTCTTAACAATGCTACAAAAGATACTGCCTTTGTTCTGAACTGTTCTCATGCATACAATTTAGAATTATATATTCCTTTCAAACAGTTCTCCCCCTCATCTGTTCCAACTCAGTGTTCCTGGAGAAAGGATGAAAGTTATACATAAAGTCTTTCATTCATAGGGTTGCTGAGTCACCAATGACTCAATGGCACTTAACAGCAACACCATAGAGAGAAGTCAGTTGGCCTAGCAGACAGAAAGTGATGTTACCAAGCCAGAGGTGGGTGACTTTAATCTGCAGCCCTCAGGCCTGTTTTTAATTGTTTTGGTCAAACATTCTTCTAGGTTGTGTAGTCCTGGTCTGTCCACCTGCTGTATGGAGGTAACTTGTGGTTGCTGTGAAGCTGAACACTGTGACACTGATGTGTCAAATGTGATAGTGGTTACCCATGGTGGACAGTGTTTGGTAGAGCTCCCTGATTAAAACAAGCTTGGAAGCAGGAGTGGCATCCACTTCTGAAATAGCTTGCCTCCAGGAATTCTATGAACCTGGAGAAAGGACGAAAGTTATACATATGTTCAGGTCTTTCATTCATAGGGTCACTATGAGTCACCTACAACTCGATGGCACTTAACAACAACAACCCTTTCCCCATTCCCTCTGCAAACCACTTCCTTGTCTGTCCAGTTTTAGAAAAGGGGAAGGGGAGGGAAAGGTGGGGAATGTGCAGTAATAAATAAATTTGATTTTAAAAAATAAAGGACAAAAAATATCATCAACAGAAAATAGACTAAGCAGTAAGAGATAAAAGATTTTTAGTTTATGTGTAACATTTTTAGAAGCCATCTCTCACCTATTCCAATATATACAATTAATTAAAAAGTATAAAAACTGAAAAAAAACACACACACCCATACAAAAAAAAGGATGTTATTTTTATGCTCATTTTGAAGATAAGGAAACTGAGGCTCAGAGAAGTTTAGCAAGGACTACAACCTTCAAAATGTATCATATCTCAACATCGATAAAACAAAAGTACTCACAAAAGTAGGCCAATAGGAAAAACATTGTAATAGGATAAATGGAGAAAGAATTGAAGTTATCAGTGATTTTATCTTGATCTGATCAACAATCAACTCTCTTGGTACCAGCAGTCAGAAGATCAGGAGACATACTGCATTGAGCAGTCTGCATCAAGGATCTCTCCAAAATACTAAAGAGCAATGATGTAAGTCTGAAGACTAAAGTGCACCTGATTTTGGCCATGGTCTTACTGGTCAGTTACTGTGCATCTAAAAACTGGCCAATGAATAAGAATGAATAAAGAAGAATTGATGCCTTTGAGCTGTGGTTTTGGAGAAGAGTATCGATTATCGCACGGACTGCCGAAAGAATAAACAGAATTGTCTTGGGAAAAATGCAGCCGGAGTGATCCTTGGAGGCAAAGATGGTGAAACTTTATCTCTTGTATTTTGGGCATGCTGCTAAGAGAGGCTATTCCATGGAGAGAGACAACATGCATAGAAAGGTAGAGACTCAAAGAGAGAGAAGAAGTCCCCAGTGAGATGGATTGACACAATAATTGCAGAAATGGGTTCAAGTGTGTCAGAGACACTGAAGATACCACAGGATAGGACAGGGTTCAGATCTGTTCTTCATAGGGTTGCTATGATTTATATTTGACTTGTCAGCACTTAACAACAACCACCAAAAAAGAAATTGGTTTTCTAAATTTCAATCCAACCTCCTTTTATGATTTCACACTTTTTTTTCTGATGGCCTAAATTAAGACCTTGAAATACAACAGAGTGGGTATTCTAGTCCCTGTGGTAACTTCACTTTTTTAACAAAAACCTCAGTCTTCTTCTCTCCAATGAAAAATAACACGGCTTTTGCATGGAAAACAAAGGTACCTCTCACTTATCTATCACTGAGGCATCCTTGTATCCATTATACCTTTACTTATCACCATCTGTGAAGCTTTAAAATAAATGGATAAAATCAATTCCTCTTCTTTGACGTGAGCGCTCTTTTAATGAAGGGGATATGGGGAAAGTGAGTTATCTTACTTCCAAGATTACTTTCAATTCATTGCCAGTGAATCAGAACCAACTCAATTGCCATAGAGAAAATTATTCTTCTGTCTTCTGTGGACATGCTGGTGCATTCAAACCACCAGAGGATAACACCTTTGGGTTACTAGTGCACCTTCCTATGGACTATGCCCCCTCCCCCAGACTCCCATTAGGAGTTCTGTGATTTCTGTATTGAGGGCTTTATGTACGTTAGATTACTGACTGTGGGGGAATCCAGTTACCATATTGTGGGCTACCCTATGGAAAGGACCAAGTGGCAAGGAAGTAAAGGAAGGGAAGTCTCTGGGAAATTGAGACACACTTCATCTGACATATTGCTAGGAGAAGTTATTCCTTGGAGGAGGATATCATGCTTGGGAAGGTGGAAGGATGGCAAAGGAGAGTAAGACCCTCAAACAAGTGGATTGACACAGTCACTGCAGCAATGGTTTGAGGGTGTTAAAAATTGTGAAGAATGATACAGGGTAGGACAGGATTTGGATCTTTTCATAGGGTTGCTATGAGTCATGCTTGACTTGATGGTACCTCACAACAACATAACATAAAGATGTGAAGCCTCCTAATAAGCACATACAAGAGCTAAGAACTATAAAACAAAGGACTTAGATCCTTAGTCAAGCCTACAGATGAAGTCCTACAACCCTGATTGCTTGACTTCAACCTAAAGAGAGATCTTGAGCCAGAATCACTTTTGTAAGACACTTTCTGATTCCTGACCCACAGAAAGCAAGAGGCAATGTTAATCATTTTAAGCTTCTAAACTTTGAGAGAACTTTTTACATTAAAAAAATAGATAATGTATATACTACCATTCGTTCTCACCTTCCCAAAATAGCAGTAGCAAACAACAAAATGTGACACGCTCCAGTTTCTCTGAGATTTAGAGAGAACATCTCACATAAGCTCAGTACCTACCTGAATGTGTCACACCTCCTGAGAGAATGGCGAGAAACAACACATCCAGAAGAAGCTTCTCCATCTTGCTCTCCTTGACCTTCAAGAGTTGGAAAGAGTAACAGTGAAGCTGGAAGGAATAGCAGGGGCTTCTTATAATGTGATTTTTGCGGCCTATGCCTTTGTTCCAGAAACAGAACGCAAAGTCATAAATGGTAAAGATTAACTGGACCAGGATGTCATTTAAAAATGGGTTTGTTTACTTTTTACTGTTTCGGCAGTTGCATATTCTCTTTTATCTTCTAATTCTTCTATATCCTTCTGGAAAATCTTTTTCACAGTCCTTAAGCGGAAAAAAAGTCATGTCCTCATGAAGGAAGTTTTATATCTATTTTTTTTAACAGAACTATGGTAGTTGTTTGTTATAATTTTGAGAGGAGCACACTTGTGGACCACATTTACAGCCTAGTCTGCAAGGCTTTGTGCTATTAACCCAAATGTGGCTCCTCTCTGACAGTTTGAATTCAACAGTGGCTCCTCCCCTCCTGGAGAGAAAGATGGACAATTCCCTTCACTGCAATTTGTTGTTGCTGTTATGCACTGTCTAGTAGGAATCAGTTCATAACAGACCTTTGAGCAGGTTTTTAGATGCAGTAAATTGCACTGGAAGAGATTGTCCATGTTTCTTCTGCAGAGCATCTAGTAGGTTCAAAGCACGTGCTTTAGAGTGTGTGGTGCAGCTCCTTACCCTTGAGCCACCAGAGCTCCCTCCCTTGCAATTTATAGCCTCAGGGAATCTGCTGGAAGGTCAGTACTAAGTCAGTTCTCATTCCACTAAAATAAGTTTGGAGTGAGAATAGATTGAAATGGAGCTCTAGTCTATAAAGAGTTGCACTGCTAAGCCAAAGGCCACACTCTTCTGACAATTCAAAGCTACCACCAGGTTTTTGGGAGAAAGATGGGCAATCTCCTCAAAAGTGATTTACAGCCTTGGAAAATGGTGACAAGTTCAGCTGTATGTTAGAATTGACTCAATTACAGTGAAAGAGTATATTAAAAGGCTCCTAGTGGCATAGGGAACCATAGTGGCAAAGCCCATAGGGAGGGGCACCTCTCTGTTAGTTCAAATCTACTAATGGTTCAGTGAGAGAAAGTGAGTAATCTCCTCTGGTGTCATTTGCAGCCTCCAAAAAAACTGCTAGAAGATCAGCCATGAGTCCGTTTTCCCCAGCCCCCTCACTCAATAGCAATGAATTGAGAGTGCAGTTGTTGCTAGGTGCAGTTAACTTGCCTATGATGCAAAGTGATCCTATCAACAATAGACCTGAACCCTGCACTATCCTGTGCCATCTTTGCCCTCTCTAATGCACTAAAGCTTGTTACTAAAATCACTCTGTCAATCCATCTTGAGAAAGGAGAAGAGGTTAATATATAAAACTGGTAACCGAAGGTTGACAATTTTGTTAGCAAAAGTTTGGCAATGTTCATAAGTGGCTCTGCAGAATGGGCAACCACCTTCCATAAAGATTTGTGCCCTTGGAAACCAAAGGACAGACACTGAGTTAGACCCAACTCCACGGTAGCAAGTAGTAGATTAAGGACATTTATTCAGGTGGCTGTGGGGTTAAAGATATCTATATCTATCTGTATCTGTATCTGTATCTCTATCTCTATCTCTATCTCTCTATATCTCTATCTATCTATATCTATCTCTCTCTATATATATGTATCTGTATATCTGTCTCTGTCTCTATCTCTAGCTCTAGCTCTAGCTAATCTATCTATATCTATAAAGAGAGAGAGAGAGAAACTTTGGCTAGTGCCAGAATAGAAATGTTCTCAATGAAAAATAACCAGGTTGTTTATGAAGAATTATTTGTTGTTAGGTGCCTTCAAATAGAGTATAACTCATAGCAATTGTAAGAACAACAGACCTGAACCTTGTCCTATCCTGTGCTGTCCTTATCACCTCTGACACACTTGTGCCTATTGCTGCAGTCACTTGTCAATCCATCTTGTTGAAGGTCTTTCATTTGTTGTTTCCTCCACCAACTATCCAAGCATGATGTTCCTTTCCAAGGAATAACCTTGCCTAGCACCAGGCCCAAAGTATGAGAGATTAAGAAGCTTCACTATCTTTGCTTTCAAGGAACACTCTGGCTGCACTTTTTCCAAGACATATAAGTTCGTTCTTTTTGAAATCCACAGGACAGTACTCTTTCCAACACCACAATTCAAAGGCATCAATTCTTCTTCTGTAATCTTTAGTAATTGTCTAGCCTTCAGATGCATTAGAAGTAACTGAAAAGATCGTTACCTGAATTAGGTACATCTTAGTCTTCAAACTCAAATTATTGCTCCTTGGAAATTCAGAGAGCTCCCTGATGGTAGACTCCCAATTTCAGCAGAAATCTCCCGATTTCTTGACTGCTAGTCACAAGGATGTTAATTGTGGATCCTAGTAAAATGAAATTATTGACAGCTTCAATCCTTTTTCTATCTTTCATGATGTTGTTTATTGGCCTAGTGATGAGAACATTTCTTTTCTTGAAGTTGAGATGTAATCCATACCAAAGTCTGTAGTCCTTGATTTTCTGCAGCAACTGTTTCAAGTCCTCCTCACAGCAAGTAAGGTTGTGACAATGTAAACTGTTGATGAGTCTTCTTCAGTCCTGATGCCACGTTCTTCTTCCTAGAATACAACTTCTTGAATGTTTTGCTAAGCAAACACACTGAATAGGTATAGAGAAAGGATTGAAGGTTCCTGCTTTTAAAACAGGAAGTGCTGTGCCCACTTTGGCAGCACATATTACTAAAATTGGAATGATACAGAGACGATTAGCATGGCCCCAGCACAAAGGATGATTTTCAGATTCGTGAAGTGTTTCATATTTTAAAAACAAACAAACAAAATAAACCAAACAACATGCAGTGCTCTGTTGTTCTGTTTGGAGAACAGATTCTCAGGAATCCAGAACTTGAACCTTGCTCTGTTCTGCACCATCATCATCCTCTCTGTTATGTTCAAACTTACTGTTACAGTTATTCTGTTTATCCATCTTGTTGGAATTTTCTTCTCTTTCTTGTGCTTCTTTGAAACCTATACATAGATCTTTGCTTCTGTCTCCATTAAAATGTTATGTAAAGGGGAGCTCTGGTGGCCTAGTGGCAAGGAGCTGCAACTACAATCCCAGAGGCGAGTGGTTCAAATCCACCAGATGCTCTGCCGGGGAAGGAGGGACAATCTCCTTCTGTACCAGTCAGATCTGATTTGACGGTACACGCACACAAAAATAATAAAATAAAAAAATGTTATGTAAAATGCTTTACAAGTTTCCCCCTTTTAAAAAATTAATTGTATATCATTCAGTCTTAACATCAAAAAACCACATAAACCAAGTGTGGTTTTCCCTAAGCTCTATTTCTAGAAGTGTCTTTCATTTGTTCCTTTCACTGAAATGCTTGTCTGTCATATATTATTCCAAAGCTAAGCATCCAAAATAAGACAGACTAGGAAAAAGCATTGGCCATCCACTTCTAAAATATAACAGGTCTTTGAAAACTTTATGTACAATAAAGCACACTTAGGGTAGAATAACAGATATGGCAACTGAGGCTGAGCACTCAAACTTGGAAACTAAAAAGAGGAGAAACTAATAATTGGAATAAGCAGAAACTAATGATTGGAATGTGGAATGTGAGAACCATGAATGTAGGAAAACTAGAAATCATTAAGAAATAAATGGAACGCATACATATTGATATATTAGGTGTTTCTGAAATGAGATGGATTGGCACGGGACATTTTGAATCGGATGATTATATGACTAACTATGCTAGAGATGAAAAGGTGAGAAAAAATGGGATCTTTTTCATAGTTAAAAAGAACATTTCTAGACTCATCTTGAAATATAATGTTGTGAGTGACAGAATAATGTCCATACCCATACAAGGAAGACCTGTAAATACCACCATCATTCAGATTCATGCACCAACAACCAGAGTCAAAGAGGAGAAAATGGATGATTTCTACCAACTTTGGGAGCTATAAATCAATCAAACATGCAACCAAGATGCATTAATAATAATGGGTGACTGGAATGCAAAAGTTGGGAACCAGAAAAAAGGATCAGTACTCGGAAAACATGGACTTGGTGACAGAAATGAGGTTGGGGATAGAATGATGGAATTCTGAAGAATGAAGGATTTATTCATAGTAAATGTTGTTGTTATGTGCCGTTGAGTCGTTTCCGACTCATAGCGACCCTATGCACAACAGCCCTAAACCCTGCTCTATCCTGTGCCAACCGCACCGCCTCTGACACACCCATCCCGATTACCCCAGTCACTGAATCAATCCATCTCATAGAGGGTCTTCCCCTCCTGCGCTGTCCCTCCACCCTCCCAAGCATGATGTCCCTCTCCAAGGACCCGTCCCTCCTGGCAACATGTCCAAAGTATGTCAGACGAAGCCCCAGAATCCTTGCCTCCAAGGAGTAGCTTGGTTTAATCCTCTCCAAGATGAATCTGTTTGTTTTCCTGGCAGTCCATGGTACATCCAGTACCCTTCTCCAGCACCACAGTTCAAAGGCATCAACTCTCCTTCTGTCCTCCCTAGTCATTGTCCAACTCTCTGATGCATAACAAGCGCATAAACACAGGCTATACACATGGATTTCATATGATGGTATGCACAGGAATCAGATTATACAGATTACATCTGTGGAAGGAATCATTGAAGAAGTACAATATTAGCAGTGAAAACTAGGCCAGGTGTTGAATGTAGAACAGACCATCAACTACTCATATGCAAGTTCAAATTAAAGCTAAAGAAGGTCAAATCAAATCCACAGGAATCAAAATTTGACCTTGAGTCTCTCTCACCTGTATATAAAAACCATCTCAGGAATAGGTTTGAGGCTTTGAACACTAATGCACGAAGACTAGATGAGCTGTGGAAGGAATCCAAGAAGAATGCAAAATATCATTACAGAGACAGAAGAAGAAGAAAAGACCAAAATGGGTATCAGAATAGAGTCTCAATATTGTACTAGAGCACTGAGAAGCTAAAGTGAAGGGAAGAAA